CCGATCCACCCTTTGCCTGGTCTTCCAAGATCAGCTCTGTAGCTGACCCAGGCCCATCTCATGGAGCAGGGGTCTTCAAAGTTGGCTACTTTAAGACTTGTGGACTTCAACTCCCAGAATTGCTGTCTAAGGAATTCTGGGAGTTGAAGCCCACAAGTCTTAAAGTAGCCACCTTTGAAGACCCCTGTCTTGAAGGCTATGATTTCTGATAGCCCAGGGATGGACTGAAGGCATCTTGCATGCAATCAAAAGTGGACTCTGCTTGGCGGTCATCCATAAGACAAGATCCAGAGACGGGATCTACCCGGAAGGGGAGATTTGGCCCAGCACAATAAATCAGGGGAAGGGGGGGGAGACGGCAGCCCTGCCGGGGCCCTCTCACCTTCCGGAAGCAGTCGTTGGCGGAGAGATTGTGCCTGATGGAGTCCTTCCAGCCTTGGTAGCCTTCCTTGAAGAAGGGGAAGAGATTGCTGATCTCCTTGATGATCTGAAAGGCAGGAGAAGGAAAGGGGGGCCTGGGCTGGGCTGCAGACCGGCCGGGGTGGTGGTGGTGGTCTTCCCTCTGGGAGGGGGGAGTAGGGTTCTCCTCCCACTAACTAACAGGACTTCAACTGTTGTAACTTCGATCAGTCACTAAACGAACGGTTGTAAGTCAAGGGCTACCTGTGGCTGAAAATAGCTCAGAAAGCATAATAATAATAATAATAATAATAATAATAATAATAATAATAATAATAATAATAATAATAATAAAGCGAGGAGGAGAGAAGAGAGAATTTGACCCTAACCTTGTGTGTTCCTGCTGGAATTTCCCAGGATAATCCTTCCTGGAGAGAGGGGGAGGCAGAAAGATCCAAGGAGCGTCTTTATTTATTTTGTTTTGTTTTGTTTTGTTTTGTTTTGTTTTGTTTTACTTTATTTTATTTTATTTTATATTTTATTTTATTATTTTTTATTTTATTTTATTATTTTATTTTATTTCTATTTATTTCTATTTTATTTTATTTTATTTCTATTTTATTTCTATTTTATTTTATTTATTTTATTTTATTATTTTATTTTATTTTATTTTATTTTATTTTATTTTATTTTATTTTATTTTATTATTTTATTATTTTATTATTTTATTATATTTTATTTTATTTTATATTATATTATATTATATTTTTTTATTTATTAGGCCACCCACCCAGACCCGCTTGTTTGCAAGATGGCTGGCATATAAATTTAATTTTAAAAAATTAAAAAAGAAAGAAAAGTGGTCAGATGTCCATGAAGTTGGGGGACCTTTTATTGGGGGGGGGGAGGGAGAGACATCTTGGGACTGGGGATGGGGTGAGAGGCGCCCCCTCCCCTGCATTTGGGATCCTGGCTGGATCATCAAAAGAGGCATCGCTTAACACCTTTTGGGGACATCCCTCTACCTCTTCTGCATTTGGGGGGGGGAGGTGAGATTGAATGGGCAGTCAGGCCAAATCTCCCCCCCCTATGCCCTGGTCCTAGTCAGCTCTGTTGACCCCTTAGGCCCTGTCTATTCATCTATATCTCTCTATCATCTCTCTATCTCTATCTCTATCTCCATCCAGCCATCCCTCCATCTATCTGTCTGTCTGTCTGTCATATTTATCCATCTATCATCTCTCTCTCTCTCTATCTTCTCTCTCTCTCTATGTCATATTTATCCATCTATCATCTCTCTCTCTCTCTTTACCTCTATCATTTATGGTATCTGTCTGTCTGTCTGTCTGACTGTCTGTCTGTCTTTCTATCTATCCATCTATTATCTCTCTCTCTCTCTCTCTCTCTCCCTCTATCTATCATCTACGGTATCTGTTTGTCTGTCTACCTACCTACCTACCTATTATATTTCTATCTCTATCTGTCTTTCTCTATTTATATCTATCTATCTATAATCTTTGTATCATCTATCTATCTATCTATCTATCTATCTATCTATCTATCTATCTATCTATCTATCTATCTATCTATCTATCTATCTATCTACCTACCTACCTACCTACCTACCTACCTACCTACCTACCTACCTACCTACCTACCCACCCACCCACCCACCCACCCATCCATCATCTCTCTCTCTCTCTAATCTGTCATCTATCTATCTATCTCTAGTTTATTGGCTGCCTCTCTTACTGCAGGGTAACTCCGAATGGCTTACAATATTAAAACCTTAGAAATATCTTTAAAAACATTTTTTTCTGGCAAAGGAGCCCAAGGATGCCAGGAAACAGGCAACCATCTCCCCTTTGCCTCCCCTCAGGATGGTTCTAAGCCCCCACCTGGCCTGACCTACCTCTGACCTGGGTGAGGATCTACCCCCCCATCCCACCCAGATCAGAGGCAGCTCAGGTGTTAATAGTTGGGAAGGAGAAGTTGGCAGCTCCTGGCAGGGATGGTCCTTATCAGACTGGCCTGCAGCCCCCTCCCCACCCCACCCCCACCCTCTCTGCTCCTTTCAGCCAGGCCAGGAGGATGTGATGTGGTTGCTCCCAGAGGGAGGGGGGGGCAGGTAACACCTTCCCAGCTTCAGGCTTTAACCAATATGCAAACTTTCGCATTTGTTCCTATGGGTTAACAGCCAAGGGTGCCTCCACCACCACCACCACCACCACCCCCCCACCCTCCAGGCATTGGAGGTCTTTCAGCATATGCAAAATCCCTTTCAATACACTTAGCCCTTGCCTCCCCCCCCCACTTCCACAACAACTGTCTGCATTCTTCCTTTTCTTCTTTATTTCTGAGAAAGCCCACCAGGACCTTGGACTTCTCTGAATACCCAACTTGAAGGCACTTTCCAGACTTTGAAAGACCAAAGCGCCTGAAGGCAGGACAAGAACCAACGGATGGGAGCTAATCAAGGAGAGAAGCAACCTGGAACTAAGGAGAAACTTCCTGACAGTCAGAACAATTAGCCAGTGGAACAACCTGCCTCCAGAAGCGGTGAATGCACCAACACTGGAGGTTTTTTAAGAAGAGACTGGACAGCCATTTGTCTGAAATGGTATAGGGTTTCCTGCCTGAGCAGGGGGTTGGATTAGATGACCTCCAAAGTCCCTTCCGACTTTATTATTATTATTATTATTATTATTATTATTATTATTATTATTATTATTATTATTATTATTATTATTATTATTATTATTATTACTACTACTACTTCTACTACTACTACTTCTACTACTACTTCTTCTTCTACTACTACTACTACTACTACTACTACTACTACTTCTACTACTACTACTACTACTACTACCTCAATCCTGGCAGCGTTTTCAAACAGCCTTGACAGATGGAAGTGGTTTTGCTAGGATTTCTTTCTTTTTTTTTTGCCTTTTATTAATCCAAAGGTGCATTTCAAAAAGAGTGCAAAGAAGAACAACTAAAATGATGAAGGGCTTGGAGACAAAAACATATGAAGAATGAACGCTCAAATCTAGACAGCCTACTCAAAAGCAGAGACATCACCCTGCCAACAAAAGTGTGCATAGTCAAGGCCATGGTTTTCCCAGTTGCAATGTGTGGCTCTGAAAGTTGGACCATAAGAAAGGCTGAGCGCCAAAGAATGGAGGCCTTTGAACTCTGGTGCTGGAGAAGACTCCTGCAAGTCCCCTGGACTGCAAGGCGATCCAACCGGTCAGTCCTGGAGGAGATCAACCCCGACTGCTCTTTAGAAGGCCAGATCCTGAAGTTGAAACTCAAGTACTTTGGCCACCTGATGAGAAGGAAGGACTCACTGGAGAAGAGCCCAATGCTGGGAAAGATGGAGGGCAAGAGAAGAAGGGGACGACAGAGAAGGAGGTGGATGGATGGAGTCCCTGAAGCAGGAGGCGTGAGCTTCAATGGACTCCAGAAGATGGCAGAGGACAGGAAGGCCTGGAGGAACCTTGTCCATGGGGTCAAGATGGGTCGGACACGACTTCGCAACTAACAACAAAAGGTTTAATGAAAAGAAGGATTAGGGGTGACATGATAGCAGTGCTATAACATTTGAGGGGCTCCCACAAAGAAGAGGAGGGGGTCAAGCTGTTCTCCAAAGCCCCTGAAGGCAGGACGAGAAGCAACGGATGGAAACTCATCAAGGAGAGAAGCAACCTGGAACTAAGGAGAAACTTCCTGACAGTGAGAACAATCAGTGGAAGTTGCCTTCAGAAATTGTGGGCGCTCCATCACCGGAGGTTTTTAAGAAGAGATGTCCAAAATGGTACAGGGTCTCTTGCTTTGAGCAGGGGGTTGGACTAGAAGACCTCCAAGGTCCCTTTGAACTCTTGTTATTCCGTTCTCTTCAAAGGCAACATTTTCTTAGGTTTTTCTCTCTCTCTTGAAAAACGTTTTAACTTCTCATCCAAGAAAGCTGAAACTTTTTCAAGGGAAAAAGGTAAGAAAGTCCAGGTGCCTTTTGAAAAGCACTTTTGGGACAAACTGATGGTGGAGAATCTCCATAGACCAGGGGTAGGCAACCTTGGCTCTTTTATGACTCGTGGACTTCAACTCCCAGAATTCCTGATCCAGCCTGGCTCAGCTTGGAAACCTCTCCCTTTCCCCTCAGCATGGCTGGCTCAGGAATTCTGGGAGTTGAAGTCCACCAGTCATAAAAGAGCCAAGGTTGCCTACCTCTGGCCTAGGCCTAGGCCCCTTCATGACTGGTGGACCTCAACTCCCAGAATTCCTGAGCCAGCATGGGGGAAACTGGCCCCCTCATGACTCATGGACTTCAACTCCCAGAATTCCTGAGCCAGCCTGGCTCAGCTTGGAAACTTCTCCCTTTCCCCTCAGCATGGCTGGCTCAGGAATTCTGGGAGTCATAAAAGAGCCAAGGTTGCCTACCCCTGCCCTAGACATTTAGCCTTCTATTAACATTTGATAGCTGGCAGAGGCGCTCCCAGACACCTCCTGATTAACATCCGGAGGACTAAGAACCGCTTAACAAAGAGATCAGCCGGGATCAGCCGGGAGTTGCCACCTACAATAAATCTTTCAGCCCGTTAGATCTCTCCAGACACAGAGGAGAAGTTGTTTTTACCTGCCTAGAAATCAAATCAGACCAGCAGAAATGTCTCTTTAAAAAGAGTAAAATGTCCCATTCTCTCATTCTTTCTGTGTGCAGGTGCCTACGAGGAGTGTTTGTGCCTGTGTGTATGTGTGCACCACAATAGACAACCAATCCAAAGCCGCTGAGATCAGAAGGCAAAAATAGGAGCTCCGTTTCATAGTTTCCTGGGCTTGCAGTGGCCCCAAGAGTCTGGGGTAGTAAGACGTAGCTCCTGGCCATCTTTTCTCAGGCACCCTGAGCCCTGATCTCCCCTTGGTCTTCCTTCCTTCCTTCCTTCCTTCCTTCCTTCCTTCCTTCCTTCCTTCCACATCAAACTTCCTTCCTTCCTCTTCTACATCTTCCTTCCTTCCTTCTTTCCTTCTTTCCTTCCTCTCCTACATCTTCCTTCCTTCCTTCCTTCCTTCCCCTTCTACATCTTCCTTCCTTCCTTTCTTCCCCTTCTACATCAACCTTCCTTCCTTCCTTCCTTCCTTCCACATCAACCTTCCTTCCTTCCTCTTCTACATCTTCCTTCCTTCCACATCAACCTTCCTTCTTCTACATCTTCCTTCCTTCCTTCCTTCCTTCCACATCAACCTTCCTTCCTCTTCTACATCTTCCTTCCTTCCACATCAACCTTCCTTCTTCTACATCTTCCTTCCTTCCTTCTTTCCTTCCACATCAAACTTCCTTCCTTCCTCTTCTACATCTTCCTTCCTTCCTTCCTTCCTTCTTTCCTTCCTCTCCTACATCTTCCTTCCTTCCTTTCTTCCCCTTCTACATCTTCCTTCCTTCCTTCCCCTTCTACATCAACCCTTCCTTCCTTCCTTCCTTCCTTCCTTCCTTCCTTCCTTCCTACCTACCTACCTACCTACCTACCAACCAAATCTTTTTGATATGTCCACCCAGGGTAGGTCCATCTTTTGATGTCCTGCCTTAAATCAAAAACAGCCATTTTGGAGCCCAACCAGCTAATACGCACCTACACAGAGAGACCCACACCCACACAGCACATACACCTCCTAGAGAAAGAGAGAGGAACATCGCAGCTCTTCCTAGTTCAGTTTGCACCTTTATTAGCAAATTTCAGGACCAAGCATGTCTCTGTTGGGGGGCTGGCCTCTCCCCTCCCCAAATTGCAGAAAGAAGACCAACAAACTGGATCCACGGGGAGGGGGCTTTGGGGCAAATGCAGCCCCTCCGGGCAGAAAAGCACCGGCGAGGGGCTCTCCCACCAGGCCGGCTTCAGAAGGGCAAGGCTGAGCCTAGTGGGCGCAGCAGGGTCTCTGCCTCTGAGCATTGGGGGGGGCTGGAATAAAACTCTTGGGAACAGAGACACCCAGTAGATGCAGACGCCCCCCCCCTTGACTTTTGGTGTCTTCCAGTTGAACAGGAGGGGCTGGTGAGGGAGGCTTTGATAATGCTCAGATAAGGATTACATTTAGATAATGGATTAAGCCAGGATTAGCTCTGGATTATCTCCCTCTGATAAGGAGGTGGGGGGGCTCCTCCCTTCCTGAATCCTGTCCTGGGTTATTTGGGGTGGGGAGGCAGGGCAGGCCCATTATAAGCTGCCCCTCCTCTCCCCACAGAAGCTGTGCTGGAAGCTCCCCATGATCTCCTGCAGGCTGGGCTTGTCCACTGCTCCTGTCCAGGGAGGCTCTATCGCTGCCCGGCTGCCTCTTGGCCTCCCCCAGGCTCCCCTCGCTGAATGGCCTTGGACAAGGGGGCACCCAGAGCCCCTGCAGAGGGGGGGACTCCAGGCACTGAATCCCCCCCCCGTGCTCCCACCAAGCCCCAGCCCCCTCCCGCTCCTCTCGCCTTACCTGGGACAAGGTGAGCTTCCGTCCTGGGGATGCCTGGATAACCAAGGCGATCATGGCCAAATAAGTGTAGGGGGGCTTGGGGTGCCGGTGGTACTTCTTCTTCTTCTTCCTCCCTCTCCTGTCCGAGGGACCCTCCTCGCCCGGCCCCTCGTCCCCTCCCTCGGCCGCCTCGGCCCCCTCAGGGTCCAGTTGAGGAACCTGGATCCTGTGATCCAGCCTGCCCACCCCAGGCCCAGGAGGAGGAGGAGGGGGCCAGGTGGCCATGGCTGGGGGGGGAGTCCCAGTAGCCAGAGCTGGGCTCTGAGGCCGAATCTCTGCTGCTGCTGCTGCTGCTGCTGAGAACCTAGGGGGGGAGGAGGGGGGAGAGTCAGGGGCTGGGCATCCAGCCCTTTCTCATGCGGATGATGGTGATGGACTCCCCGCCACTGGACCCCCTGGGGCAGAGGGAGGAGGGGCGGGCTGGGGCAGGCCGGGCGGGCTGGGAATGGGGAAAGGGCCACTTAGGGGTGGGCTCAGCCCTCTCCTCCTCCTCCCTCCCCCCTCCTCGTCTTGGGCACAAGAAGGCAATTCTGGCCCTTTCTCTCTGCCCTGGAAGGGCCCAGAAGCCCCCCAGGAGAAGGGTCTGCCCGGCCAGGCTGGGGGTCCTTGTGGCTCTCAAGCAAGCTTCTTTTCATCTGAACTTGGGGCCTGGTCACCTTCCTGCACAAGGAGGTTGAAACCGCTGAGTCTGCTTTCTGCTGGCAGCTGCAGATGATGATGATGATGGAAGGGATCCTGGAGGTCTTCTAGTCCAACCCCCAGCTGCCACCAAAAGGAAATTTTGCAGGCCTTTGCAAGGAAGAGACTCCAGAGCAATGGGGGAGGCTCCAGGCCCTGGTCTGGCCAGCTGGGGTCCCTGGGACAGGAACCCCCCCACCCCTCCCCGTGCCAGGGGGAGGCAACAAGGAGAGGAGGGGGGTCTCCCTCCCTCCCAGCCAGGCATCACCTAACCCGGGTTATGGCAGGCCGAGGGAGGGGGCATCCCAAGCGGAGGAGGGGGCGTCCTGGGTCAAATTCTCCGGTTTTCTTCCACTTTTGTCTCTGCTCCTTCTGGCCACCTCTGGGCTGCTGCCTCCAGTCTGGCCCTTCCAGATGTGCTGCGAAGGGAACAGCTGCCGGCTGCCCTGGAAGCTTTCAGCTTGGGGGTCCGGCATTCGAAACGCCCTCTCCCGGCTGCTCGCTCACCCCACACCCTCCCACTGGGGTGATCGGCAGGCAGCCCTTGATTAGCGGCCATTCGTTTAGTGACCGTTCGAAGTTACGACGGCACTGGGAAAAGGGACTTAGGACCGTTTTTCACACTTAACGACCGTCACGGCCTCCCCTTTTGGGCACGCGATCAAAATTCAGGCGCTTGGCAACCGACTCGTATTTATGACGGTCGCAGCGTCCCCGGGGGGGTGTCACGTGATCCCCTTTTGCAACCTTCTGTCAAGGGGGAAGCCGGATTCGCTTAATGACTGGGTTACGAACTCAGCAACTGCGGTGATTCACTTAACAACCGTTGGAAGAAAGGTCGTAAAATGGGGCAAAACTCACTTAACAAACGTCTCGCTTAACAACAGAAACTTTGGGCTTGTCGGGGTCGTACGTCGAGGACTACCCGGAGCCCTTGTTTACGGCTTCGCACAACTGCTGCTGGGTGCTGCTACTTTGTTTTGTAAAGTAGGTACAGGGGGGGTCCTCCACTTACGACCGCAGCGGAGTCCAAAATATGTGTTGCTGAGATAGTTCAGTTTTTTGCCCCAATTTATGACCTTAATTCCCACAGTTGTTAAGTGAGTCACTGCGATGAAGCCGGCTTCCCCCATTGACTTTGCTTGTCAGACGGTCACAAAAAGGGGATCACGTGACCCGGGGACATTGCGACCGTCGTAAATATGAGTCAGTTGCCAAGCATCTGAATTTCGATCACGGGACCCCGGGGGGATGTTGCAATGGTCGTAAGTGTGAAAATCGGTCCCAGTCCCTTTTTTTAGTGCTGTCGTAACTTCGAAGGTCACTAAAAGAATGGCTGTAATTTGAGGACCACCTATTTCAGGGGTCCCCAACCCCCGGTCTGTGGACCGGTACCGGGCCGTGGCATGCCAGCAACCAGGACACGCAAACAAGCAAAGCCCCATCCGTGGGACGCAGGCAGCACACAAAACCACGCACTCTCCGGTCCACGGAAAAACCTCTCTCCACGGAACCGGTCACTGGTGCCCAAAAGGTTGACCTATATAAGAGTTTTACTGGAAAGTGGAAGTTCTTACTGGTTTTCTGCAAAAGGGCACCACGGCGAACCAAGGCTTTGTGGTCATATAACTACTGGCGCGTTCGTTTTATGACTGCAGTGTTCTCTTAAAGACCGGCGGAGAAAAATGTCATAAAATCGGCCCGTTTTACCCCTATCCACGACATAGAGTGCACAGGGCAGACTCCATTATGGTTGTGTGTCAGCGGTCCCCAATCTTTCCAGCTTGGGGGGGGGGGGGGGGATGGTTTTGTACACATGCACACCGCTTGCCACAACTGGAGCTGGGCATCTGTGCTCGCCTGCGTGACGTGTACAGAAGTGCCGCTGCACGCACACACACTCATGCGTGCTTGCCTGCTGCTTCTGCGTCCTGGTTTTAAATGGGCTGCAGCCTGGGGGTTGGGGAGCCTTGTTGTATGTCAAGGACTATGTTCCCCTTTCCCAAACCCTGGAGCCAGAGATCCCCCAGGGAGGCGCGTACCCGGCGAGATCAGGAAACGTCAACAAAGAATATTTGTGGCTCAGGATTGAAATGAGGTGTCCTTGGTGCTCTCTGAGCCTGGCGGGGTTTTTTGCAGATGTTTCATGACCCAACTAGGTAACATCATCAGTGCTAGAAGGGAGGAGGAGGGGGGGAGGAAGAGGGGGAGGAAGGAAGGAAGGACTCTGGGGTCCCTGGTGCTTCCTGAGCTTGGTGGTTTTCTTGCAGATGTTTCATGACCCAACTAGGTAACATCATCAGTGCTAGAAGGGAAAGAGGTTGGGGAAGAGGAGGAGGAGGAGGAGGAGGAGGAGGAGGAGGACTGTGGGGTTTTTGGTGCTCTCTGAACTTGGTGGTTTTCTTGAAGACGTTTCATGACCCAACTAGGGAACAGCATCAGTGCTAGAAGGGAGTTGGGTTTGTGCAGAAGAAGAGGAGGAGGAGGAGGAGGAGGAGGAGGACTGTGGGGTCCTTGGTGCTCCCTGAGCCTGATGGTTTTCTTGCAGACATCTCATGACCCAACTAGGGAACATCATCAGTGCTTGTGGGATTTGCTGAGAGCACCCAAGAACCCTCATCAGGAAACATGTTTTACTCCCAATACGTAGTTTATCTTTGGAATCAGTTACCACGGGCTGGATCATAACCAAGATTTATTCCTCAGACTACCATGAAGCCAATTCTTTGTTCCTTGAGAAGATCCATTTTGCAGAGCTCGGCCAGGGCCTTCCTGCCAGCTCAGACGTCCCCCTTTTTGCGACCTCCTTCTGCTCAGAAGCAGATCTGTGGGGAGGGGCGCTTCTACTTCCAGCCAGGGGCCCCCAGGGGCCAGCTGCTGCCACTCGTCCCACAGAAGCCCCAAACACCGGCTGTCCCCACCGCAGGCCAGCACACCTGGCCCATGTGCTGCTCTCCCCCTTTGCCCACCCCTGTGGTGTGCTGCGACGGCAACCCAACACGGCCATCAAAGTTGGGAGGGCTGGTAAAGGTGGGCTTGGGGACACCCCCGTCAGTCCTTCTGCCCCTTGCAAAGGACCAGCCTGTGCTGCTCCGTCGGTGGCAGCTTCCTGCTGGCTGCGAGGCAGAGACTCTCCTGCACACACCTTGTGAGGTGCCCTGGTGTGGCTCCCTTCACCCGAGACTAGCTCCGTCTTCGCAGCCTGTCCAGAAAACTGGGTTGCTTTCCCACCGTCTCCCCTTCCTTCCTGTGCTGGCGAGGCTCCTCCTGCTTCTTCTCCTGCGAGGCTTGTGCTTTTGGGGGGGCATTGGCTGGGGTCCCCTGCCTGGGCTCCCTCTGACTCGTGGGCGTCCGGCGCTTCCTCTCCAGGCCCTGCTGCAGGGCGTCGTGGAGCGCCTTCTCCCGCTCGGCGATCTTGGCTTCCCGCAGGGACCGTCGCTCAAAGGCCTCCACGATGCGGGGCACCCGGTTCTCTGCCTGCAGCCGGGCGGCCACCTGTTCCGCGGAGAGGTCCGGGCCTTCCTTGCCCGACACCAGCTGGGCGCGGGGCCGCTGCCGTTCGCAGAAGAGGCAGGAGCAGGTGGCCGGGGAAGTGCTGGTATCATCGCAGCGAAGGATGCGTGCGGTCGGCTGCAGGGGGAGAGGAAAGGAGGAGAGGTTGCAGGACGCTGCGGTGGGGTTTGTAAATGCTGGGGGAGCTGTGTGGACCCCCCACGATGCCCTCCCTCCCCTTAGGATGGCATTTCGGAGTGCATGTTAATTCAGGGGTCTTGGCAGCTGAACCCAACTCCCGGTCCCCACACGGGGGCACCACCACTCTGGCTTTCTTGGCAGCCACAGGGGGCCAATCCTTTCCGACACTGCCTGGGAATCCTGTACAGGGAGTCCTCGAGTTACAGCCATAATGGAACCCAACAGTTCTTTTGGTAAGCAAGGCAGTTGTTCAATGAGTTTGCCCCCCCATTTTATGACCTTTCCTGCCACCGTTAAGTGAGTCACTGCAGTCGTTAAGCGAGTCACACAGTTGTTAAGAGACTCTGGCTTGCCCCACTGACTTTGCTAGTCAGAAGGTTGCAAAAGGGGATTGCGTGACCCCAGGACACTGCAACCGTCATAAATATGAGTCAGTGACCAAGTGTCTGAATTCTGATCATGTGACCAAAAGGGGAGGCTGCAACAGTCATAAGTCATAGGTCACTTTTATCAGTGCCGTTGTAACTTTGAACGGTCATTAAATGAACTGTTGGAAGCCAAGGACCACCTGGGTTTGGAGATCAGCCACCGTTTGTTGTAGGGACCCCTGGAGCCAAGAACGCCCCACTACCTAGAGCAGTGATGGCAAACCTTTTAGAGACCGAGTGCCCAAACTGCAACCCAAAACCCACTTATTTATCGCAAAGTGCCAGGGCTGTATCAGCATTGCGGTGCCCTTGGGGGGGGCAGGGAGGCGCCTCTGAGTGTTGCCTCTGGCACGCAAAAACCAGGGGCACAAAAATGGGCCACCGTGCTGCAAGGCACAAAAACGGCCACCACCACGCTGTGGGGTG